TAGTGAAAAGCAATAGAGATCCTTGCTTCAGTCGGATTATTTTCAGCAGACTTTGGGGAAACATTAAGGTGATTGTTCAAGGCTGCATAGGATTTTGTTTGGAATTGTCACCTAAGCTCAAGAAAGACAATGAGGTATTTCAGTGTGTCTAAGATGGTGAGACTAGTTTTGGTGATCCAAGCGGTCTTTACCAGGCTCACTTCCTCTTTTTCCAGTGTTCCCAATAATCCACTGTAAAAACTGGAAATTGAGATTTTTCACAAGTGTGCCTTTTCTTTTACTCTAGCAACTGTGTCTTTCAGAAGCCTTGCCTAGAAGAAGTCCTCCTCACTCACACTGAGTGTAGGAGAGAAGATATTGCAGGATGCAGGCGAGAGCTGCTTAGGAGATTGGTAAACATGTTCATGGGCGTTATGGAAATAAAGGGTGTATCCAAGTATTAATATGCTGATTTTAACTGGTCCTGCCACAGCTTACGTTTGCTGGTTTTGAGTAGGCATTAAAATGTTTTCCATCACCATCGGACCCGCTATAGTTAGTGGAGAACCAAGTTTCTGGTGTAGTCATATACACCCACACTGCGCACTCCACCAAGGCAAGACGTGGTGACAAGAGTTACTGCAGAGTGAAGAAACAGACCCATGATTTTACAGGGCCTCTGTGTTTGGGTTTGAACTTGGCTATCTTTGCTCCCTCTGACTTACACTCATACATCATCAGGGTCTGTAAATCTGACTTCATGTTTCTTAAACTGTTTGCGAGCGTAGTTTCCTTTGAGCTCATCTGTTGTCACGCAGCATCCTTCACCTTTGCATTTAATTGCTGTCTGTGAGTTCTTACTGTAGTGATTCAGAGTTTCTCCAGGAACTAGGTGCGAGAACTCTCAGTATTGGTACGCAGTTCCCAGCATTACAGGAGTTTCCTATTTCCTTGTGAGAGGCCCCTCTTCCTCCCTGTGAACTTTCCCTTGAACTCCTCAGAAGAGTGTGAGCAAAAGTTGGCGAAATACCAGAATGTGCTAGTTCATAAATAGTGAGAAGATTTGCAATCAGTGTCAGAATGGATTGAAAGTATCTATACAGAAAAAATAAATTAATAGATGAATTGCATGTATTGAAATTAACAGGTTCCTATCTAATAGCTCACAAATAATTAATTTTAAATGTGTGGTGTCAAGAGTGTAATGGTCTCAAAAATCAGTTACAGAATAATAATTTTTATTACTACTTGAATTTTAATCAATCCATCAAGTGCAATCACATTCGTGTGCTTTACTTCATTACAGCCTGGCATCCCCAACTGCTAGATGCTTATTATTGTCTAATTTATTTTTCCAGTTCATAAATGTGAATTCAATATCTGTTTTTTACACAATCTAGATACCGTGGAGAAGGGATAATTAAGGAAGTCCCTAGTAAAATTATTCCTTTTATGTATCTTCCTGAATATCGAAACAAATGGGACAAAGCATTGCAATCTTACAAGCTGTTAGAAAGGATTGACCAGGTAATACAATAATTTAATACAAAGATTTTATTGTAACTCTTTCTGCATGAATTATGGTGACTAAAAAGACCTCTACTTGGATGAAGAAAGCCCTCAATGCAAAATACGTTCTGGGTCAGTACAAACTTCTAAACCTGCTGCTTATGTGAAAAGGGTATGAAATGTGTCCTTCCACTTAGGAGCTAGATATTTAGGGTAATTTAAAAATTAGGGTATATTTCAGTATTTATTATGAAATAAATGTCCTCAAACATGCCAAGAATTCAGTCTATGTTAAACAACAGAAGTGTCTATTAAGAGTAGGGTGAGACACGACGACAACAAAATGTGCAGAAAGCTCCCCTCTCCGTGAGCATAGTTTACACAACTTTAAAAGATCACCAGAGTTAAAAGCAACATGGAAATTGAATTGATGCTGTACTAGGGCTGTGAAATACTGTATGTTCTGAAATTCCAGTTGCTTGGGGCTTTGTCTCGGGCAATCTGGAAATCCAGAACTCAGAATTCGTATGAAGAATATCAGTTCTGTGTTAGCCAGCTTTGATCTAACCACTTGAGAGAGATGGCCCTGTGTATGATGGAGAGAGGCCTTGGAACGTATTACACGTGTTTGAATGACTCAACTGTATAAAAGTACTCCTTAAATCGGTGGGGGGGAAGAAAAAACCCACCCATTTTAGTCTTCCCTGAACCTCTCTCACTTTCCTCTGCTTGAATCTGCTAGAATTGGTCAGATGTTAGGATGTAGTGGTACATCCAACCGTAACTTCTTTGCTTTTTTTGGAACTGGTTTAGTTGAACAGATTTTTTGTCCTAGAACACCGTGTGCAATCTAGGATGTGTGTCTTAATGCGAATAGGCATTCTAGCTCCACCAAACATGGATACTAAATGTGCACATTTTGGGTTTTTCCCATGCAGAAACTATACTCCTGCCTAAAATCTAGGCCGTGAGGAAGGGCAGTGAATCCCTACTCTGTTACTGGAAGATCCCTTTCATGGCTCTCATGGTAGTTCAGCACTAACTAGATGATGAGGACGGTTGTCTTATGCTAACAAAGAGGAATCCATTTTCGCCACATACTCATTATTCAGCATGTAATGCTGCTTTGCCACTTAAATAAAACTTCTTACATACTAATTAAAAAAATTGCCTTTACTTACTTGCAGGACACTGGTATATACCACAGTGTAACACACAGTTACGGTATGGGACTGATTTCATCAAGAGATTTTGTTGACCTGCTGCATGTTAAACCATACCCTGGTGATATCCTTACAACTAACTGTAAGTTGCATGTAACTACTGCATGTTTTCCTGTTTTGGCTGCATTCTGGAAACCCTAAGGTGAATGGCCGTAGAGTAAGTTCTGCGGCCTCATCACAGCATAGAGTACCTTGCTACATGTGTGGTCTTACTGATGTTAACAGTCCCCTCCTGTTTATCCCCAAAACAAAGTTGTTGTTTTTTTAATACTGAAACTATCAGAATTGATCTTCAAAGAAAATACTGTATTCTTTGTCTATTCTCCTATTATGCCTTTCTTTGAAAAATTGAAAAAATGTAGTAGTGTGAGGAGGCTGGAATTTATTATTTCACTATATAAATTCAGTGTTTATTTAATAACACTTTTCTGTACTTAGATGGCTTCCTGACCAGATGCTCCTTGCCTAATAAGTTATTCTCAGAGTGAACTGCCAATTTGCCCCATATTTGATCCTCTTTGAGTTTGGCTCTGTAAACTTATACAAAATGTAAAATGATTAATATTACAGCTATATGGTCAACCAGGCTACTTCATTTCTGTGCTCATCTTTTTCCTTTGTGTGGATCTTAGTACATGGCAGAAAACAGCATTTTTCATCTTGGAACTTTGCTAACCTATAAGTATTTTTCAAGCCATATTCTTATAATACTTTATTATGCAAAAGTAATGGATAACTAAACAAAACAACCCCTCCCAACTACTACTGTGCATGTGCACAGCAGTTTCCTCCTGGTCTCTGCAATTATGTTTACTAATTAATGACATCTGCTGACTCATTTGTGACATAAACTGACTTCTTTGTCCACAACTAAGCCACACCTCAACACTTAGGTATGTGTAATTACGTCTCAAGGATAATACTTTTGGGTATGCCTGCCCAAACATCTATAAAATGTTTATATGTATTGAATCACTTGCACAAATATTTAATGTCCTTTAGGTGTTTTGCCTACAGAACGGAATCGCTAAACGCATCAGTGACTGTGAGATCTTGTACTATCCTATAGCAGTTGGAGTACTTTGTTTTTAAAAGGTATTTTTGAGTTGTGTGATTGACTTACATAATTAATTGCATGTTGCTTTTTGGGTGTGGTGACTTACAGCTGTCAGTGTGGAATACTCCAGCTGCCCTCCAACTCCCTCTTGTGTCCGAGGCTACAACAATCCCTGTGGATATGTGTGTTCACCTTTGCCCGAGTAAGTATTTAAAGCCCCCTTATGTTAGCGTCTTTGGTTACTCAGTTGTCTTCCCTATACAGAGCTTAAAATTTACTGAACCATGCAGCTTTTAAAAAAAATTTATTTAGACACTTCTATTCTGGGGGAACTTTGATTTTTCTGTAGCTCAGTTTTGTGACTCAGACTTCGCTTTTGAAACAATTGAAACTTTAGACATCCTCCATTTTCCATATTAATAATTTCAGCAGAGACGGACTATAAATTGTAAACATTTGTACATCTCACTAAGTTTTAAAGCAAGAGTAACAAGTGTTAACTGAAGGATTTTGCTCCTTTCATCACAGGAATCCAGAGCATTCTAAGCTAGTTGTATTTATTCAGCCACAACTAGGAGGAATGCTTCCAGGTTCTGTAGTGGAGACAGCATTACCTAATACTCTCATAAACTTGATCACTGAAACGAGAGCTGGACTGAAAGGCTTGAAAGACCATAATTAAACGTAAGTGGAAAATAATAAGCACTTAAGTCATGTGCATCTTTTACTTGGATTCATTTTTAAAGTAGACGAAGAAGTTTATTTTAATTGTGGTTTAAGTGGAAACATATAAAGCTTAACTGTTAAAATGGTGAATGCTGGTTTTCGCTGTTCTTGGGAATGATGCAAGAATTTACCTTGGAAGTAACATCAAAGTACAGGATGTCACTTTCAATGTAGTCAGGAGATGTCCTGTAATATTTTTGCACTTTATATGCGGAGAATATATATATATGCACACACATAAGAATCAGGTGATATAAATTATAGTAATGTTAGAATACAGTAGTCAAACATTTTGCCATAGCTTTAACCACACTTTGATAAATTCTTACCTCAATTATGTACTCTTGACTGAAACAAGCAAATATCTTGTGTACTAGACTTTAAACGTGTTTATTAACTACAGGTGTGCAAGTGTAATTAGTAACTATTTCACTGTTTTGGAATTAAGTATTTGAAGAAAAGCCCAATGAATTTGTATATAGCATCTCATTAAAAGCTGCTCTTTATAACACACAGAGTTGTTATTTTCTGAATCCTGAGCACCAAACCTAAACAATTTTTATATGCTGACTAATTTCCAGGAACAAGCTGGTGATATGATTCACTTGGTAGTAATGTGTCCCCTTACCCCTTAGTATTTCTAGTAGTAGTTACGAGTTAACCGCAGGAAATAGTCATAGCCATGTGAATAGCAATTTCCATTACAAATCACTCGAAACAGTGGTGCAAAGTAAAGAATAGCTGAAAATTGCTTTCAACTTCTCTGCTCAATCCCCTCCCCAGGTTGTTAGAAACAATTAACTGCACATGTAGTATAACTCAATGAAAATTAAAGTAAAAATTCCTTCCCCTGCCCAGTCAGCATGTTAAGGTGATTATAGTGAATACTAAAATATGTTTGCATACTATAATATCTTTAGGACAACTAAAGATTTGTCAGATAAATGTCAATTTATGAGGAAGAAAAACAAGACAGACTAATTACTACTTAAGATAGAGTCACCATCAGGTTTCATGTCAAAAGTTGTCAAAATACATTTTTAATATTCACATCTTTACAATTTATAGTGAATTTTCATGACTAAAGTGCCTCCAAGTGCTGATTCTTATAGTGTCACTATTATGAAAAACATTTCACTGTGGTTTAAAATATCTTAGCAAACTGTTAGACTGTGATAAACATGGTGCTGTATTCCTTCTTCCTTTATTTGTTTTAGGCTTTTCAGGGTTTTTTTCTGTAGAACTTTTGGACAAAGGTTCCTGACTCTTCCATTCAGCTAGTAGCTCTTTTTGCACATCTGCAGGTAGTTCATAAAAAGTCTTTGTGTCAACATGAGGAGGAAATACAATTCCTGCTTGTCTACTGTAAGTTTTATCCTCAGAAGTTGTTTCAAAGGCCTGCTTATCTTTATCCAAGACAGGGACACACACAACAGTTTGGCTGGCTCCAGCTTCCAGAGGTGACACATCTCTCCCTCTGAAGTTCAGAGAGTCAGTAGGTTGTTTTTCCATCCTGCTGCTTGTCCGTGCAATTCTGGGACATTCAGAAGAACAACTGGCCCTGGAGCTGTGTGCCAGAACAGCTGCAGATTCACAAGCTGACGTGGGAGATGTATCGCACCCTCCAGAGCGCGTATCGCTCTTTAGTCCCTTAGAACTTGGGGAAGTGCTGCGTACCTCTTCTGCAAAACAGACTGATGGCTGACCCGAAACAGTCTCAGTAGGGATTGCTTCTGTTTTTTCAGAAATAATTTCTTTTTGAATATCTTCTGGAAGTTCCCTGAAGACTTCCTGGTCAATGTCACCAGGAGACAAATGAAATGGGAAGTCAGGAATTCCTGCTTTTTTTATATTGCTTTGCTTTTCTTCTGAAAGTTTCCTAGTTTTTGTAGTTCCAGTTCTGTTGCAGTTCTGGTTCCAAGAAGCACTTCCCTCACCTTGTGAGTCATCTTCCACTTCCTGTGGCAAAAACCGTACACAAAAGCATGAGTATGTTCTCTGTAATACACTAGTGACCAAGCGCTACTTTACTAACAGCAAGTTCTTCAAATTATTCCTTAAGATAATTTTTTTTCCCTTATGATCGGTAGTGGTTTTTTAAATCTTATTTTCAAACATAGACCTTAAAAAGTACATACACGTAGGAATCCTTTTCTTATTTTAAAGTAGCAAATACCTTGAAGTTACACTTTATTGCTTTAAAACTGTGGACCTTTGACTACACAGTATGATGTTATCCATAATACTCCTGAGCAGCGGAGAAACAGACAAATTTATCAATATGTAAAATGGCCATGTCAAGACAGAAACAGTAAATTCATTACACAACATAATTCTGAAGTTACTAAGTTTTTGTATTATGTACTGAAAGCATCTTTCTTGTGGAAATACGTAGCACCGTTTCTACAGATAGCTGCTGTTCAATCCTGAGCAGGAATCAGAAGTGTTATCAATATGTAAAATGGCCATGTCAAGACAGAAACAGTAAATTCATTACACAACATAATTCTGAAGTTACTAAGTTTTTGTATTATGTACTGAAAGCATCTTTCTTGTGGAAATACGTAGCACCGTTTCTACAGATATTCCTGCTCAGGATTGAACAGCAGCTCAGAAGTGCCCTAGATCAGAAGCTAGTGCTACTGGCCAATACAGAATTGAATCTCTGATTAATTTCTAATCTGAACAGGGAGACTGGAGAGTGCATAGGAAGGTAAATAATCACTACGAAAGTATCTTAATAAAAGCAACAAGGTAAATTATAAGCAAATTTCAGGAGATTTTAGTCTAATGTAAAAGATGCTTCAGTATGACAGTATCTGAGTAAGTGGCCTGTTGTTTCACAAATGCTAAATAAAGGGCAGCTTTTACTGGAATGAACGGCTAAATTCAGCAGTTAGTTTTTTAGAAGACATAAGTTTGGATTTCTCCCTTAGTGAATTCTGTTCTCTTCAGTAAAGGGGCTTGATAACCTAGCTGCCTGCCCCATTCAAAATAATATTAAACCTCTCTTAAACATTCTATCTAATGAGAGAAAGCAAACAAGACCTGCTCAGAAGACTCCAAATAAGTCTTCATTTAAGGTTTCAATCTATATAGTACAGACAGAAATATCTCAGAACTTTCTTATCTGCAGATAGTTTTCAGAATCTTTCAGCTTACCCGGACACGTTTACCAGAGCCTGATGGTGGTGACATCTGCTTTAGATAGAAACCAATTGATCCTTTCTTGCTGCTAGGAAGATCTTTGAGGTTGGAGAAGCAGATGCTCAAAAGAGTAAGATGAAATGGTAGATCTACATCTATCATCTTTCGAAAGAGTTTCATTAGTATATCAACCAAGGGGGCTATAACATTGCTGCTTTCTAAAAGAAAAAAGGTTGACAAAAAGCAGTGTATATAATCAAAAGTAACTGAGTAAGATTGGTTTAAATAGCAAAGTACAAAGGCACACTTCCAACTTCACATTCTGAACTTCCAACATTTTGCATGTACACAAAACTAAGAGATCAATCATAATCTAAGAAGGTGAAAATACGGTGCTATTCTTAGCAATAAGAGGATATTTATAACTCCATCTGTATACCCTAAGGAAACCTTTATTCATCTCAAAAAATGAATTCCTGAAGTATTAAACTCTGCTAAAGGCTTTCAAAATAATCTGTCAATATAGCTAAGATTTTCATTCTGCCCTGTCAGGGCAGGTTCAGGTACGTCCTGAACTGAATAACACACTTCTCCCACCCCCCCAAAAATCCTTAATTTCACACCTGTGAAGATTACTTTATAATATGTACTTAGGTTAGAAAAGAAGAATTACACAATACAAGCCAAGCTGAACAGATTTGAAAAATAATCTAATTCTACCATAAAGGGCCTTTCCAGAGCCATGTAGGTGTATAACGTTACCCCAACACTGGTAATTACAACACCATGGTTTATTGGAGTTTGCATGACTATGTGAATAACAGTAATTCTTAGTCTCCTCCAATGTCGAAGTCCAGTAGCAATTCTGAAGCAAGAAGCTACGTGGACTTTCAGTAGCTTCTCTAGGACTGTGAGAAGTAATTCAGGAGTTGAAGTCGGGAGACAGTGATTCTGTGTGCTGATACAGCAGTGATTCAGATTTATTTCCTCACCCCAATCTGACTGAAGTGTCAAATGAATTGCAGTTGCTGGCTGGAAAACTTAAATCCAAGAAGGATGAGAGCCTTTTTGGTATTAATTTTCAGAGGTACATCGAAAAGACATTTTATTACATAATAAAACTGAGAACATAATTCAAATCCCTAAACAGAGAAAAGCAGATTATTAATCTGGAAAGCAGCCCCCCTCACCACCCCACAAAGAAATTTACTGCCGTGAATCCAGCCAGACTGGGTTAATACATGGTAGTAACATGGAAGTTATTCCTACAGTGAACTTCTCTATGGTTTTAGTGTATCTCATCAAGATACATCCATTACACGTAATGGAAAAGTTTCCAAATATTAAGTGTAGGGATTATTATCTGACATTAAGTAACAGAATTTTACAGAGAACTTAGGTGGTAGCAGCACAAAGTTGATACTGCTAAGTTTACCTTTTCCAAATTTCTGAATGAGATGAGGTGGAATAGGACACTGACGACTTTCCCGATTAAACCATTTATCTGTTGAGGAGAACTGGCGTATGGTCAGTCTCACTGTGTGTGGTTGTCTTCCATCTTTGTATATTCTACAGAGCATTAACATGCACAAAGCAGTAAGTATTACTATGAGTATCTTTCAGAGGGTCTACAGAAACTCACAGCATCTAGGTTACAAAGTCAAATTACGCATTACAGATCTCTCCCAACTTCTGGCTTTACTCCACTGATTATACGGGGAACTTTGGGTCCTAGCTGGTTCCCTTAATTACCCGTAAGTTAGAAGTTCAAGACGATGTGAATACTGTCTAAGAGTCCTCACCTGAAGT